CTACCCGCAGTACCTCATCACCTGCCGCAGCCGCCACGGGGGCCCCCTCTGAGCCCCCTGGCAGTGGCTCTGCTTCATGGAGCCCTTTTTATCCTCCCGGCGTCCGCCGGCACTGGTGCCAAAGTGGGGGTTACGGTGTCCAGGGGCTCAAGGTGTGCAGGGATGTTCCTGCCCTGCCCAGGAGCTCAGAGTGGGGGGATCCTCCCTTGGGGAGGTTCCTGGGCACCCTCGTGCCAGGGCAGGAGGTGGGCAGGAGGACTTTGGGTCACCCGTGTGACGCCAGTGAAATAAAACTTGGAATAAGACTTCAAATAAAATTTGAAATAAATTGGAGCCTTTTGCATGACTGGGATTGAGGGAGGACTGGGGGGAGGGGGGGAAATTCCAGAATTCCAGTCCCAGCTGGGAGCATGGGAATAGGGGGAATGTCTCAGTCCCAGCTGAGATCACTGGGATTGGGATGGATGGGGTCCCAGACCCGACTGGGAGCACTGGGAGTGGGGTCAGGCAGGAGCCCGGCTGTGTGTGGGTGCTGTGTCCCCCTGAGGTGGCTGTGCTGGGTGGTGGCTCTGAGATGCCCCCGGTGACAGGTGGGCGAGGGCAGGGCTGGGGGTCTCGGTGACCCCCGCGCCCCTTTGGGGGCCGCACACGGAGCGGGCGCGGGTGTGGCACCAGCGGCCCCGGCCCCGCGGGCACGGGCGGGCCCCGGGCCGGGTGCGGTGGCACCGCGCCGGCGTGTGCCAGCCCCGCTGACGTGTGCCAGCGCTGGGATCCCGCCGGGCGCCGTGCCAGCCGTGCCAGACCCGCGCACGTGGCGCCAGCCCCGCTGCCCGGGGAACGCCGGAGGATGGAGGTGAGAGCCCAGAGGGTCGGGGGTGCGGGAGGGGTCCTGGCCGCACGCCCACCCCCTCTGCAGAGTCCGGTGCCCCGCGCCCCGCGGGTGCCCCGCGCGGGGAGTGCCCGGCGCTGCCGGTGCCAAGCGTGCCGGACCTTTGTCCCCTGACGCCGAGGGGCCCGCGGGGCCCAGCGCCGCTGAAAAGGGCTCTTTGTCCGGCCCTGGCCGGGGGACTCGCTCCCTGAGCCCGTGCCGGCACCGGCACATGACCGCGGCGGCAGCGGCTGCGCCAGCGCCGGGTCCGGACGGACGGAGCGAGCGGCAGCCCCGGCACGGCCGCGGCCAGAGCGGGCGGGGGTCTGAGCCCCCTCACGGCAGGTACCACGGTGGGGACAGAGCGTCCGGGACAGGGTACAGCCCCGGTACCGGCTCCCGGGGGCGCCTCACGCCTCCCCGGTGCGGGGTCCTCGGTGGTCTCTGCGCCCCGCGGGGTGGGCTGGGGTTGGCGGGGTCACTTTGGCACGGATGGCCCCGCTGGGGCTGGGGGTCGGGGGGCTGTGCCGCGACACAGGGTGTGGTGGGGGGCACCCCGAGACCCCCCCAGTGTGTGTGTGTGTGTGAGCACAGGTGTGTTCCTGCGCCGTGCACACTGCGGGGCTTGCGCCGGGGCGTGCCTGCAGCCAGACGAGGCCGGGCACGCCCGTGCCCACCCGTGCCCACCCGTGTCCGCCACACCCAGGTGTGCTCAGCACTGGGGGCTGTTCTCCGCTCCAGCTCCCTTTCCCGGTACCGGCTCCGGTTCCTGCCACCAGCTCTGGTTCCCAATTGGTCCTGTTCCTGTTCCCAGCTCCTATTCCCGGTTCCAGCTCCTGTTCCTGTTCCCAGCTCCTGGTTCCAGCTCCTGTTCCTGGTCCCAGCTCCAGGACCTGGCAGCTGCTCTGGTCTCCAGCACCAGCTCTGGATAAAGGCATCGGTTCCCAGCACTGGTGCCCGGCCCCAGCCCCAGTTCCCGGCATGATCCCAGTCCCCAATCCCACCTCCCCAGCCGGATTCCCGGCTCCCCATCCTCCCCACCAGACATCCTGCCGCAGCGCTGGTGGCTGGAGCCGTGCTCGGTTCTCCGGCCACAAGAGAGGCTCGTGGCCGGCAGGGTGTGAGCGCCGTGCCAGAGCCGTGCCAGGGCCGTGCCAGGGCCGAGCCGGTCCAACCCCTCCGCCACCGCGCTCCTCTGGGCTCTGAATGCGGCAGCCGGCGGTGGCCCGAGCCGCCGCCAGACGCGCGGGTGCCCCGCCCGTGCTGGGCCGTGCTGGGCCGTGCTGGGCCCGCAATTGAGAGCCCAGGCGGGGCAGAGCCGAGGGCTGCGGGACTTCCCTGGGGGAGCGCGGGGCGGGACCGGCTTCGCTGGGAGCGCGGGGCGGGGTTCGCCCTCCCCGCGCTGGTTGCAGCGGTGAGGGTTAACCCTCTCCGTGTTTGGTGTACTGGTCACGGCTGCCCTCTCCGGACTGGGCGTACTGGGTGTACTGGTCGGTTAAGCCGTGTCTGCTGGGCGTACTGGGAGCACTGGTCAGGGTTAACCCTCTCCGTACTGGATGCGCTGGGGAGAGTTAATCCTCTGCGGACTGGGTGTGCAGGGGAGGGTTAACCTGCTCCGTACGGAGTGTACTGGGTGCGCTGGGCACAGTTAACCCGTGCCATGCTGGCCGTACTGGGAGCACTGGTCATGGCTAGCCCCTGTTTCTGGCTGTACTGGGAGCACTGGTCGTGGCTGGCCCCTGGTTTTGGCTGTACTGGCAGCACTGGCCCTGGTTCTGGCTGTACTGGGAGCACTGGTCGTGGCTGGCCCCTGGTTCTGGCTGTACTGGGACCACTGGCCGGGGCTGGCGACTGTACTGAGAGCCCTGGTCGTGGCTGGCCCCTGGCTCTGGCCGTACTGGGAGCACTGGCCGGGGCTGGCCCCTGGTTCTGGCTGTACTGGGAGCACTGGTCATGGCTGGCCCCTGGTTCTGGCCGTACTGGGAGCACTGGCCGGGGTCGGCCTTTCGTTCTGGCTGTACTGGGAGCACTGGCCGGGGCTGGCCCCTGGCTCTGGCTGTACTGGGAGTACTGGCCGGGGCTGGCCCCTGGTTCTGGCTGTACTGGGAGCACTGGCCGGGGCTGGCCCCTGGTTTTGGCTGTACTGGGAGCACTGGCCCTGGTTCTGGCTGTACTGGGAGCACTGGTCGTGGCTGGCCCCTGGCTCTGGCCGTACTGGGAGCACTGGCCGGGGCTGGCCCCTGGTTCTGGCTGTACTGGGAGCACTGGCCGGGGCTGGCCCCCGGCTCTGGCTGTACTGGGAGCACTGGCCGGGGCTGGCCCCTGGTTCTGGCTGTACTGGGAGCACTGGCCGGGGTTAATCCTTCCTGCGCCGGGTGCCCGGGGGTGCCTCCCCCGCGGGGTGCGCTGGCTGTGGAGGGTGGGGCGCTGAGATAAAGCGCCCCCCGCTGCCCGCCCCCCGCCCCGCCCCTGCCGCGAAGCCGGAGCCGGAGCCGGTGCCGGTGCGGGCGGAGCCCCCGGGGCCATTTTCCCCCGGAGCCCCCGCGGTCCCGGTGCCGGTGCTTCCCCGCCGGTGCCGCATCCCCTGCGGAGCCCTCGCGGTGCCGGCGCCGTTTCCCCCGCCGGTCATGCCCCCCCGTGGCGTCTTGGCGGACATCGTGGCGCTCGGTGAGTCCCCGCGCGTGGGACCCCCCTCGCCCAGTCCCCCGTGGAGCCGGGAGCGGCGGAGGGGGCGGGGGGGGCTTGGAGATGCTGCCGCAGGGCTGGGGGGGAGGGGGGCTGCGGCGTGGAGGGGTGGTGCGGGAGGGCTCTGCTGGGGTGCAAGGGGTGCTCAGACCCGAATCTGGGGGCTGGGGCGTCCCTGTGCCCCCCTCTGTGGTGGGGGGGAGGCGGCGTCAGGCCCGGGGTGGAGGGGCTGCTCGGGGGACGTGGGCGATGGAGCCGGTGACTCAGGCTTGGCACCGCGCTGCCCCCCACGCCCGCCCCTCGCCTGCTCCCCCTCACTGCCCCCCTACGCCCGCCCACCCCCCGCCTGCTCCCCACTGCCGGGGCGATGCCGCTGGGTCTGGGGGCGCCGGTGCTGTCGGTCGCGCCGGGGTCCCGGGGCGCCGCGAGGGCTGGGCGCTGTGGTGTCGGTGATGTCGGTGGGTCCCGCTGCCGGCCCCGGTGCTGCCGGGCCCGGTGACTTTCCCGGGTTCGGAGCTGCTGCAAATGGCGCCTGGGCCGCGGCAAACGCCCGGTGCTGCCGGCTCCCCGGGGAACGAGCCCGAGCCGGCGTCAGGGCTGCGGCGGCGCCGGAGCGGAGGTGGGATGGCGGAGGCGCCGGGATCGCGGAGGTGTCGGGATGCTGCGGGCAGCATCACGGAGATGCCGGGAGAGCGGAGGCAGCGGGATGGCGGAGGTGCCGGGATGGCGGGGGCGGGATCACGGAGGTGCCGGGATGATGGAGGCGGGATGGCGGAGGTGCCGGGATGGCGGGGGCAGGATCACGGAGGTGTCGGCATCACCGAGTCATCCCCGCCCGGGAGTCGTCACAGCCTCCGTCCCGCTGCCCCGGGAGCACTCGCGGCACCGAGGTGCTGCAAGCGGCACCGACCCCGCAGCCGCTCCGAGCCCCCCGACCGCTGCCCCGCTGCCGCTGCGGTCTCGTCTCCCACGCCCTCGCTCCCGCTGCTCTTCCCGAGCGCGCCCCGGCTGCGGCGGCACCGCCACGGGCGAGCTCCCGGTGCCGGACCGGCCACCACCGCTCCCGGCCCGTCCCTTCGCCGCGGTGACCCCATGGGGACCGTGTCCCTAGCGACACCGCCCTGCACGGCTCGGCCCGGCTCGGCACGGACCCCGCTTCCCCGCGGCTGTCCCGAGCGGTTCCGGCACCTCCGGGCGCCCCGTGATTCCGCCGTGCGCTGCACCGGGCGCTGCCGGTGCTGCGGTCCCGGTGCCCGGTGTGCCTGGCACCGCCTCTCTACCGCAGGAGCCGGGGCCGGCGGTGCCGGGGGTCCCTAAGCCAGAGGGGGAGCAGTGGCGATGCTGGGGATCCCTGCTGCCCGGTGCCGGGGGTCCCTGAAGAGAGAAGGAAGGAGATGGAGATGCCGGGGGTCTCTGGTGCTCGGTGCCGGGGGTCCCTGAACGGAGAGAGGGGACAGTGTTGATGCCGGGGGTCCCTGAAGCGAGAAAGAAGGAGGTGGCGATGCTGGGGGTCTCTGCTGCCGCGGTGCCGGGGGTCTCTGAAGTGAGAGGGGAGACAGTGGCGATGCCGGGGGTCCCTGGTGCCCGGTACCGGGGGTCCCTGAACCGAGAAGGAAGGAGGTGTGGCGGTCCCGGGGGTCCCTGGTGCCCGGTGCCGGCGGTCCCTGAAGGGAGAGGAGGGGCAGTGGTGATGCCGGGGGTCCCTGCTGCCGCAGTGCCGGGGGTCCCTGAAGGGAGAAAGGAGGTGGAGATGCTGGGGGTCCCTGCTGCCGCAGTGCCGGGGGTCCCTGAAGCGAGAAGGGAAGGAGATGGCGGTGCCGGTGGTCTCTGGTGCCCGGTGCCGGGGGTCCCTCGCGTCCAAAGGCGGTGGTCCCGGTGCCGGGGGTCCCTGACGCCGTCCCTCTGTGGCAGGAGCCGGGGTCGGCGGCGATGGCGGAGGAGAGCTCGAGTGGCAGCAGCGGCTCGCCCGGCGCCGGGGACACGCTGCCCTGGAACCTGGGCAAGCACCAGCGCTCCCAGCGAGCCAAGGCGGCCGCGGGCAACGGGACGGTGCTGGACCCCGCCGAGAGAGCCGTCATCCGCATCGCAGGTACGGCCCGGGGGAGCGGAACGTGCCCGGGGGGTCGCGGGGGAGCCGGGCCGTGCCTGGTGGGCGCGGAATGAGCCGCTGTGGGGCGGGGGTCGGGATGTGTCCGGGGGTCCGGGATGTGACCCGGGGGTCCGAGATGTGTGCAGGGGTCTGGGATGTGACCCGGGGGTCGGGATGTGACCCGGGGGTCGGGATGTGTCCGGGGGTCTCGGGCGAGACCCAGGGGTCTGAGACGAGCCCCGGGGGGATGGAGGGGTGGGCGGTGTCTGGAGGCCCGTGGGGCGATGCCGTGGGAGTCCCACGGGGCCCGGGGGATAGGGGGGTGGCACAGCGATGCGAGCTGCGCTGGGGTCGGCGCAGTGAAGCCGCGATGGGGGATGCCGAGCCGTGCCGAGCCGTGCCGTGCCGTCCCCGTACAGCTGCCAAAAAACGCTCGGCGTTTCCCCCCCGTAAAGCACTCAGCCCCCCCGCGGCACAGAACCCTCCCCCCGGCTATTTCCGTTACACCTCCCTGTCCCTCCCTCCCTCCCTCCCTCCCTCCCTCACCCAGTCCCTCCCTCCCTCCGCCTCCCCCACCCCCCCGGCGCTGTCCCCGCTCGAGTTTCGGGGCATTAATGTCTATTTTTAGGGATGACGATGCCCCGTCCCATGGGGCCGATGTGTGTCCCCCCCCCAGCTCGCCCACGGCCGGGACTCGGCTCCGGGGGGGGGCTCTTGGGGGCCGCAGTGAGGCCCCCTCCGTGCCCCTCCGGTGGCACCGGGAGCTGAAAAAAATCCCTCGGTGCTCTTGGGGCTGCCGGGGGAGTCCCGGGGGGGGCGTGACGTCCCTGTCACCGCCAGCCGGAGGGGACGCGGGGGTCTCTGTGAGGGGCTGAGCGTTCACCAGGGGAGGGGGCGAGGGTGGGGAGGCCGGGGTGCGAATCGGGGGTGTCTCTGAGCCGGTTGTGGGGTGCACCAGGGACCCCCCACCCCATCCCTCACCACCCGAGCCCCCAGCCCCACACTGTCCCCTATGACCTGCGACCCCTGTCCCTTGTCACCCACCCCTCGCGCTCCTCTGGGCACCCGTGGGTGCCCCACGGACGGGGCCAGCACTCTCGGGGTTCGGGCAGTGCCGCATCCCCAGCACCGGGTGACCCCTTGGGGGGCGCGGAGGGCTCCCCTTGCCCCGTGGGGTGCCCTGCCCCGCGGTGCCGTGCCCCGTGGGGTGCCCGTGGGCGGGTGCCGTGCCCGGGGGTGGGTGGGTGCCGTGCCCGTGGGCGCCGTTTCCGCGCTCCGGGGCGGTGTCCGGCGGTTCCTTTAAAGGGCTGGGCGGGGGCACGCCCCGTCCCCAGTCCCGTCCCCTGTCCCGTCCCGTGCCCCTGCCCAGCCGCGGGGTGCGGGGCCGCCGAGCCGCCGGACACGCCGGACGCACCGGGCACGCCGGACCCCGGCCCCGGCCCCCGCC